TGCGCTTGCTCAAGTCATTTAGTGCCGCCCGGCAGGGTCCCGATCCCGGAGTCATCTGCCTGTGGATCGTGGGTCACCACCTTGGTGCTCGAGTCTGCCTCTCAGCGTCTCCACGTAGCCTAACCTTTGCCTTTTTTGCTGGAACAGGCCTCTCGAGAAGGTGCTGGAAAACCTTGATCATCCCAGCCTGCTCTCCACTTTACTATTCTTTTAACTTCTACTTCATTTCTCCCCTTGTTATCGCTGTTCTTAATAGGGTGACTTTGTCATGGGCTTTGTAGTCAGGTTTGAATCTCACCTGGCTGCGTGTGAAACTATTTGACCTTGACACGGTCCTCCATCGCCATTTCCTTGCCTATGAGATGGAATTTAATAGTGACCTAGATTGGTTGAAATGAAGACACGAGATAAAATGTAACATCGTAAGTCCTGGCCACTATCCTTATCGCTAACCTCCTTTTAGAGTGCAAACTCTCATAGTTGCAAAAAGGCATATTAAGAAGTGAATTGAAATACCACATTCTAGAACTTCACACAGGTCTTTTGGAAGAAATACCTAGTTTTCTTTAAGCACTTCGTTGTGCACGGGAAGTCATACTACAACAGAATATATAGGTGGTACTGATAGTTGCTTTGGAGTTTGTGTTCAGTCCTTGGTGGATCCTGGGTGCAACCTTAGACCCCAAATAACTGGAGAAGAGTTTTTCTTGGTGCCTGCCCGTTGCCCCTGGTTACGTGTTCCACTGTGACCCGCCTTGAAACCTCACAGTCACATCTGTCCTTGTTCCTTGTGGATTCAGCCAGTCCACACACACAGCTCTCCAGGGAGAAAGACTGTAGCAGACGCTACCCGTAATCTCTAGCTCATATTCTAGATACTACATGGGATTTTCCAGGAACCCTGTGTGTTCGGCCATTATTTAATTCCTAATTTATGTGGCTTACTAAGTCTGAATCAGAAATAATCTATTATGGTTTTGAAAATATGAGTAGGCTTAGTATGGCCAATGGAACAGAAGAATGTGATTAATCTGGATTGACTTGAAAATTCAGGGCACATGGTTGCTATGGTTACGGTGTCATGTGTTTGTGATGGAGAGAGGAACTTTGTAAAAAATTAGTTTTGTACATTAAGCTACAAATCTGCCAATGGGATGCAAGTCTCTCTCTCTCTGTCTCTCTCTCTCTCTCTCTCTCTCTCTCTCTGTGTGTGTGTGTGTGTGTGTGTGTGTGTGTGTGTGTGTGTGCGCATGTATAGCCTCTGTATGAAAAATATTGAGGTAGAAAAGGGTGTCCTGTTTTGATGGTGGCTCAAAGAGACATATCTTTACACATAGATTGTATGTGAGTCAATTCAGTGGGCTGCTTGGTTGATTCAAACATCTTATTTCCAATTGCTTCAAAAGAAGTTTTAACCAAAATCTGTGAAATAACTTAAACTCTTTAGTATACTTTGATTACCAAAGAATAAGAATTTCACAGTTTTATTTCACAGTTTTAGTTGATCAGAGTGTGTCCTTAGAAAATTGAACACCCCATTCATCGTCTTCTGTTATACAACCTTGAATCATCATTCATGATTTTCACAGTACATTTTGTATATCTTTTTTTAATTTTAAAGATGTGGGGTGCAGTTCATGGTTAGGTACATCCATGGTCGTTGTGCAGGTAAAGTTTGGGTTCCCTCATTGGTGTTGTGTGTCCCCCTTTCTCCCTGGCAGGGTCCCACTACTGCCAATCCCTTTCTTGTAGTATTATGATAAACGTTCAGGGTCCGCTTAAGAGTGAGGACATGTGGTACTCAGATCTTTGTTTCTGTGATAAACCACCGAGAATGATAGACTCTAAATCCATCCAGGTTGCTGCGAAGCCCATAATTTTGCTTTTTCTTCATGGCTGTGTTATATTCCATCGTGTATTTATTTACATTTTACATATTTCTGGTAGGACTTTATAATCATTTGCTTCTGTATGATTTGTAGTAATTATTTCCATAGTAAGGAATCCCTACATGTAACATCACAAATGTATGTAGCATAAAATAGGAACTTTCATTCATAGAAGAAAACGAGTCTTTGCTGAGTGCTTTTCCTTTTATTTGAATTCAGAGTTAACACTACCACACCATGCAGGCGTGGCCTCGTAGCAGGTGTTTTCTGTGCTCCTACAGATACATAGATGTGTTTCTGGAAAGACAGAGGCTCACATTTTGCAGCGTTGGGAGCCTTGCTATTTGAAAAACATTTAGTTGATGATGTTCGTTGTTATGCTGAGAGAAATGATTTTAACAAACACTGACAGATCGTTTTGTAGCAGGCCAGCTCTTCAAGTGACTCGTTCAAAAGGATAGTATTTTATAACAGGTGTAAAGTCAGAGGCATTTAGTGAAATATTTGGCCCATGATTTTCCATGAATAGTTTGTTTACGAAGAGTTCAATATTCAGGGAAGATGGAAAAACAGTCTGGGGCAGCTAAAGTAATAAAACTGAGTTAATCCCAAATTGACAATCTAAAGCCCTTTAAAATTACTTGTTGCAGTCAAGAAACAATCCCCCTAGTCTGTCATCTCTTTTCAGCTTATAAGTAACAATTCTGAGGTTGTTCGTGGAGACTTCCCGTTGCTAGGAAATACCGACATTTACTCGGTTTTGGTACTGCAAGCCATGGTGGTTACCAGGGCCAAGGGGAGGTCTGTCCATGTCTAGTAAGTTCTCTTTGGAGCAGATCTGTCCGGCTTGTGTCTCCTTTTTGCCCCAACACGTTTGTCACTGGACAAAAATGTCCACCGAAGGTAGGGCTTGGGCGTGAGGTGTCAGGATTCCTTCAAGTAAAAGTTTCTGCTCAAATGAAAATTTAAAATACAGTTAGTAAAACATGTAAGAAAAACTGAGGCCTTCTCAAATCCTTTGTGAAGCATGTCAATGATAAATATATAAATAAGAGCCAAAGTTTTCATTTTGGGTAATATCTGTGAGTGATACAATTATTTTCCCTAGAATAGTTTAAATCACATACTAAAAAGGACCCCTCAAAAAACCAAAATTCACTTGTGGTTTGTTCTTATATGTTCAAAGTGCTCTCTGTTTGATGCAACACACCTATCAATCAAGAGCTTTTTCCACTGCTCAAATCAGTTTTTAAACTCACTGACTTTGATGCCTTTTTGTGCTTCTGCCATTCTTTTTGTCTTGTTTTGTTTTATTTGTTTCCCCTCTTCCACACGGGCAAAACATTTCCCTTCGAGGCCTTTTTTCATCCAGAGAAATAACAGAAAGATGCTTGAGGTGAGATCAGGTGAATAGGAAGGGTGGGGCCCCAGTTTGTTGGTCAAAAACTGCTGAACACTCAGTGTGGTCATGGCAGAAGAATCAGTCACCTGTTTGTTACAACTCTAGACATTTCTTTTTCAAATCGTGATGCAACCATCTCAAAACTTCCAGATAAAAATGTCGGTTGATCATTTTATGTGGAGGAACAAATTCCAAGTGTACTACATGGGGACCACCCTCCAAAAGAGAATTCCATTTTTGTTTTTTGAGTTTTGTTTTGTTTTTGTATTTTTCGATTCCTTCTCCTATGTCTCTTTTATAAAGATTTTTTTTTAACTTTTCGAAAATGTTATCTTCAAATCTCAATTTGTTACTTGAATAACATTGTTTTCCCCTGAAGATAATTTTCTACAGTATTCGACTGGGTTGAGATATTATGTGTTTGCACCCAATCTCTAGCCTTACAGAGCTTGTTCTCTTGGGAAAGGCAGATACTTGGGCAATCGTGATGGCTTATACCGAGTTCAGTGCTCTGGGAGTGCAGGGGAAAACCCTCCTTTATCCATGGTGCAGGGTTGGGAAGGTGCTATCATGGAAGGCCTCCCAGTGGAGGTGACTCAAAGGTACACACATCAGTCAGGCAGAGAGCAAGGCTTGGGGTGTGAGTGACTGGGGGACCACCAGCATCTGCAAAAGCTTGACTGTGAGAGATGGGAACACCATCGCTAAGTGACAGAAGTTCAATCTGGCTGGAGTAGAGAGGAATTACACACTCTTATTATGGAAGCAATACTTGTTCGTTGTGTAAAATTTGAAAAATACAGGAAAAGAGAAAACATGCCATGGCTAGCTTCAAGCCTCAGAGTTCATTGCTGGGTACATTTGTTGCATTTTTCTCATGCCATACATGGGTATTCATAGAACAGCACATTTGATGTGAACCCATTTGGCTTAGACCGTAGATATGTGTACAGGCATAAAATGCATTTACATATACACGTGTGAAAACGCACCAAGTCAAGTTGGGATCATGCTAACATGTTGTTACCTGCTTTTTTCACATTACAATATACTTAAGTATTTTCAACGTCCTTGGATGCAATCATATTTTAAGTAAGCAATTATGAGTTGCAGCATTTCATTTCTGTGATTAAAAAAAAAAATTCTTGATCAGGCGAGAGGATTGCCAGAGCCCAGGAGTTCAAGACCATCATGGGCAATGTGGCGAGACCTTGTCTCTACAATAAATCAAAAAATTAACCAGGCGTGGTAGCACGCGCCAGTAGTTCCAGCTACTTGGAAGGCTGAGGCGGAAGGCTCGCCGGAGCCCAGCAGGTCGAGGCTGTGGTGGCCATGAGTGTGCCACTGCACTCCAGACTGGGCAACAGAGTGAGACTCCAACTCAAAAAAAGACGAGCCGGGCTCGGTGGCTCAGCCTGTAATCCCGCGCCTTTGGGAGGCTGAGGTGAGTGGATTGCCTGAGCCCGCGGGTTCGAGACCCGCCTGGGCAGCGAGACCTCATCTCTACAATAAATCAAAAAATCAGCCGGGCATGGTAGTGCATGCCTGTAATTCCGGCTACTCGGAAGACTGAGGTGGAAGGATCGCTGGAGCCCAGCAGGCGCCCAGCCACCGCACTCCAGTCTGGGCGACAGAGTGAGACTTCACCCCCCCCAAAAAAAAAAAAAAGAACAATTCTTAAAGCTAACCATCTTGATGCTTCTCTGCAGGAAGAATGTTTCTTGAACCTGGAGGCTCCTATATCAAGAGTATGTGGGTATGACACTCCGTTTCCTCACATTTTTGAGCCATTCTACATCCCAGACAAATGGAAGTGTTACGATGCCCTTCGAAAGATGATCAACTATTGACCGTTTAGGTAGGTACGCCCTGCATTTTGAGAGAGCTCATATGTGCCCCTGACATGAATAGACCGTTAACCAAGGAGCAGCAGTCATCAGTGTGTTGCATTTTGGGAAAAGACAACTTTCAGAGCAAAATGTGTACCTCAGAAAAAAATTCAAAGTTATGGCCATATGCTTATGTGTAACGGAAACATTATCAGGCATATACATGGTGTGATTTCTAGAAAACAGATGCAGACATGTGTTAACATCGAAAGACCACCAGGCGAAGATGCCCCTCTACCATGGTTTAGATTGCAAATATGCTTTATGCCACTGTTGATCAATTTCTACCTTTATTTCTGTATATTTTTGTCAACTGTTTAAACTGTACATAAATAGGGGCAATTTCTGTTGTTTGAAAATAGCCCCTCGGGCACTGTAATTTGGGCTCCAGTTATTTATACAGTAATCCATAATATTCTGAAATCTGCCTTGATATTATCTAAAAAGTAGATTCGCTGAGCATGAGATCTCTTTATTGTCTATAAGTGAAAATTTTGCTGAAAAAAGCCCCCAGAGCCCAGCACCACTGCCATTTCCAGATCCTTTTTTGGCAAGTGAATGCTTTTTTAAGTATTTTAAGTAGTGGGTGTTAAGTGATATTTATTCATTATTATTCTAAGTCACGCTTATCAGCCCCTTTAGCAGTGTCACTCCAAAAAAAATGAATAGCAGTAAAAATTATTAAGTTCGTTTTTCAGAATTTAATATAAAAGTTCCTATCACTGACTCATGGATTTTGAAATGTTTCAAAATGAGAAGATAGAATTAGATTTTAATATCTAGGATGTCCAAAAATTAATAATACATCTTGAAGAACCATGACTTTTCAAAGGAAAAAAAAGGGGAATTCGCTCTCTATAATAACACCTTCTATACACTTGAAGGTCAGAAATGCTATGATTTGAAGGTCAGAAATGCTATGATTCGTGACTTCCGTGTATGGGTAGTGAAGCTAGTTTACCTAAGATCAGAGAGAAATGTCTTTGTATTTGTGCAATAGGGAAAATAACACTACCCACTGGCCACATGCTACCATAATCCCCACATTTTTTATAGTTCTGTTCTAATCGTCGACATTGTTCTAACTGTAAGTCAGGTCTATCAATCTCCACACTTCTGGAATTCTCTCAGACACGCAAGTGTAGGTGCTCTGTTTCTGTTGTCTTCTCCTTCATGTCTGTGAAAGCAACTTGTTTCTCCAGTAACTCACACTCTAGACTGGCAAGAGGACTTCCTCACTTCTATTGTCTGTGTGGTTCCCTTCCTGGGACCAGCCATAGTGGAGGGTCAAGGTGAAAGTGGCGGCCACATGCCTTGTTGCTCTTTTTAAAGTAATACGTAGATGCTGGTTTTAAATTTGGATTATAGATTTCTTTTTTTTTAAAGTTAAGTCAAGTTTCTTTTTATATATATATTTAATTTTAAGCATAAGAAAAATATTTAAACCTATACTGAGAAATATGATGAGAGAAGAGTTTTTCATGCTAAAAGTTAAATATGATATTAAAGAAAGTCAGTCATGCATGCCATTGAGAATGTCTATTTCTTTTACAGAACTATGGAAGATTCTGACTAGATACGGAAATATTTTTCTGATTTTTTTGTATTTCTGAGGACTTAACCTCTTCTCAAAACTGGAGTTTTTATGAAATGAACTATCATGGATATTGGCTGAAAAGTTATAAATGAATGATTATGTTGTAACATGTATGAATTGACGGTTTCATTATGAGTCTTTCAGATTAACTTCTTAAAATGCTCCACCACAGCAGGCTTATAAATTCTGTTTAATTAGATCTGTAAATATCACGTGCAGGATAGTATCCAATAAAGCAAAATCAGATGGTCTTCAGGTTGTGTGTGTTCTTTTTTCCATGAGTCAAAAGGACTTTTATCCCACAGCAATAGATTGTTAACTTGTTAATTAAGTCTGAATTAAAGTGAAGTATCGACTATAGAAATGGTGGCTTTTCAACTTTGGTGGGTCTGGTTTAGTTTTCTTTGGCCAAGATGGTCGCCTGCTGACAGAGCTTCCGGAATCCTCGTTCTTCTCTCTGGCTGCAGCGAGGTGAACTCTCTTCTCACAACTTACTTCTCCAGAGTGTGGCAGGGGCGAATCCTTCCTGCTTCCTCCTTCCCTAGATGGACTGCATGAGCCTGTCTGTCATAAACTGGCCACGTTCTAGCTGCCGTGATAGGTTTTTTTGCTGTGATGTCGCAAAACAAATATTTTTTCCCTTTACTGTGTGGATAAGAAGAAAAACAACGTTAGCAACAACAACGGGCTGTGACAGGAGGAAGCATCCCTGAGGGGACCTTGCCCGTCCCTCTTGTGTCTTACTCAGATACATCTGGCTTTCACCTTCGTTGCAGACAGCCTGGAAAGCCCAAGGAATACTCCCCAGGGCCCTGTCACCAGCCCACCTCCCCTCCTGCAGTCCCAGAGGAGCTTTCTCTTCTAAGTTCCAAAGAGAATCTCTACTCTGCAAGAGCAGAGAAACAGGCTGGGCATGTTTTCCTTTCTCTATAAACAGTGAAAAAAGGTGGATGTTTTCCTAGGGTTACAAATATACGTGTTCCCTTACAACTGTAATTTTGAAAGCTGTGTCCTGTTTATTTTTGCCAGCCATCCGGAGGGGGTGATACAGAAGGTGACAGCTGTAAATTGCCAGAAACGTGGAGGCAAAGGAAGAGCACTTTATCATAGGTTCTGGATATCCTTGGGCTGAAATAATGAACCAAATCATTTGTTGAGGATAAAAATACAGCTGGCCCTTGGATTAAAAATAGAAAAACCGTGTTGGTATAGGAAGGGAAAAGATGTAGTTTGTCAGCAACAAGCTTGGAAAAGATTTAGGGAGTTCAGTTGGCTTACCGTATAGGACATTCTGCGTTTAAGAAGCCAAAACTCATCATGGACCTTGGCTTTGGTCTTGTCTCCACTCAAGGCTCAGGGCATCCTGCAAGAGCTCAGAGCTCATGTGGTCGGTCCCGCAGAGCAAGGAACATTTGGTGGTTGACCACCCTTGGCCTATGATGGGCTCTGGTTGACATACTGGTTTCAGTTGAACTAATTTGTTATTGCCATTTTATCTTTTGAATATTATATTTCCCATTTGTTGGGTATTTTAAGTCTGTTTTCTTGGCTATTTTAGTTTCACTTTCTTTGACTCTGTTTTTGAAATAGCAAGAATGAAAATAACGGTAAGGACTGTCTACACACGAAGTGCTCGTTTTGGGAGCCTCATTCCACCGCTAGTTAGTCCTGCAGCCCAACAGGAAACACCCTCTTCTCTTCCAAAATCAGCAGATTGCAGTTAATACTCAACTCGGTCTACGGCACAAGACGTGCCGTGACAATTCACTGTCAAAGATTTCCTTCTTTCTTTTTGCATGAAACAGCTATTCCATGTTGTGAAAATAAGAAAGTAGTGGCAAGAAGGTACTTGAGAGATGTTAAATATTGCATTGGTTCTGGGTCTAATAGAGAGAGAGAGAGAGGTCAAATGACTGCTGAATCCAAAAGCCTCTACTACTCCTGGTGGCTTCAGCATAAGAATAAGTCTGCTTCTTGTGACAGCATGAATATAGAAGCAAATTAAGATTTCTATTGTTTGAATTATATGATTTCCTTAGGAAAAAATATGATCGGATAACCATGTGCTATACAACCAATAGATATCATTCAAGCAAAAGAAACGGACCTGTGTCCATTAGAAAAAGAAATGAGAACTAAGATCCAGGTCTCTGTTCGCCTCCTGAGGTTTCAATCACGTAATCTAGAAACTCCAGTGAGATCCAGAGGATCCAGACAGGTTTACTGAAAGCCCTTTCTCATCAGCTTGCTGGTAGTACATGCACGTGGTCTCTGGGTGCCTGGCATTCCTGGCCCCACCTTCTAGAAACAGTACTGCCATTTGTTCAGAGAATTCCTTCTTCCCACCGCATGTGGTTCTGGAGGCCAGTCCACCCCTGTCCAAGTGTTAGCCACAGAGATGGCCGTGGCCCAGGCCTAGCCAGGCTTCTCAGAATAGAAAGTAAGGATGCCTGTGCAGAAACAAAACGTGGTTAGACTCAGCCTTGTCAACGAAACTAAATTCCAGAGGACTGGTTCACAGACTTTCACTTGCTCCAGGTACATCTGAGGCCACGACTCACAGATGTCAACCAACTAGACACACTGTGTTACCTTGAGCAAAAACCTTTGACTGAGGGGTAAGAACATGACACCAAAGAAGTTATGCTGGAGTTTTTAGGCAGACGTGAGGTTTGGAGAATCTGATTTACGCTCCTCGGTAAAAAGCAGTGGAAAATATTCATCTATGGGCAACGATATAGAAATGCTGGCACTTTCCTGAATATACTAATTAAAGATATTTAACAGAAAAATGAGAGAGAACAAGAATGAGGAAGTCATAGATGGAAGGACTGGAAGTAAGAATAGAAACAAGTAAAACAAAAAGATATACATCTAAATGTCTTGAAAACACATTTCATATTGTAAAAATAAGAAAATAATGATGATCATAAATATGACTTAAATTGACAAAAACTTGAGTCCTAGATTTGCCAAAAGGAGTTCAGAAGTTCTAAACTCTTCATTTTGAGGAAAAAGGAGTACAGACCATTCTGTTAACCTTGAAAGTTTAATAATGGTTTTAAAAGCCTTCCAAAAAATCGCTTAACACTAGTAGAATTAAAAGCACATCATCGCACGGGCGTCTATACTAGACTCAGCTTAGTAATTCATTCCACAAACATTTATTGGTCTCTGTTATGGGCCAGGCACTGGGCCAGAGTCTTAGGTGCAAAATCAAGTAAAAAACAGTCCCTGCAAAGCAAATGAAAAAAAAAACCAAAAAGAGGAAGAAATAAAAAAGGCAAAGAAAGAAAAACAGGGTAAAGCAAGACCAAACACAAGACAGTAAATTAGTTAATTAGACAAACTTCGGTTGGGTTAAGAAACAAAATCCAATTAAAAGCTGTTTTCCAGGAAGAGTCTTGAAGTAAGTTGACCTAGAAAGGTTAAAATCTGAAAGTGGAAAAATATGTTAGGCAAAAATGAAATGAAGCCAACAGGTCAGAATTTATATCAGACAAAGTAGCAGATGAGGGAAAAATAATGCATTCAATTTTGACAAGAGGGATAGATCACGGTGAAGGTATGACAGTTAAATCCTTGGCGTTCCAAATGTGCAGTATTAAAATTTACAAGCAAAAACTTACAAATGCGGAAGAGGTGGACAGAATAGTTGACCTTATCACCCCGCCTTCAATTTGGTAGATGAAGTAGACCAGAGTAAAAGACCACAGGGCATTTTAATTATATAAGTAATAGGTTTATGCCCACAGAAATCCATTTTTAAGCTTTTGGTCTCTACTGAGAGCATACTACCTTTCAAAGTATATGCGAGCAGTTGATCATATACTAGGGCACAAAGAAAACTAACAGTAAATTTCCCAAAGAAAAGAGTATTGAAGAAGCACCATGTTTCCTGACCACATCCTAAATTAATAACCAACATTCCAACTACTTGGAAATAAAAAAGCACCCTGCTTAGTAACTGTGAAACCAAAAAGGAAATGTAAAAGCAATTATAAAATGTTTAGAATGTGAGATCACCGATGTGCTTCAGCCAAGATTTTACTCAGAGGTAAATTCGTAGACTTTAAATCTTTTAAAGAAGAAAGCTGAAACTAGAAGAATCCTGCAGAAATAAAGGAGGAGAAAGCTAAAGAAGAATGAAAAATCAAAGTTGGGAGTTCCAAGTGAGAAAAATAAAACTATGATGAAAAAGATTTTTTTTCATAAAAGTAAAATAGTTCTTCGCTTTCCTTTATAATGTCTGTATCTGGGAAGGTGGGGCTATGGTTTATGTAATTATGATATCTGCAATTAAAGACCACATCATGGCTGTGCTTACACTGGCTAATATTGTCAAGGTCTTTTCTTTGAGGGAGAGGAAATTTTGCAAAGCCTAGCGGTTGGCCCCATAGTCTTGATCAGCAAAGGTCTTTGTTATTAGGATAATTTATTCCACCATTTTAATAACATAATTATCAGTCTTCAGTTTGCTTGAAATTCTTCGGTTTCTTGCTGGGGCCCACTTGGCTACCATAAGTATTTTATTTACCATAAACTCTTATAAGATTCATTGGTTATAAAAAAAATTAGAGTAATGACTTCAAAAAAGTTTTGTTGATCATTTGGAACAATACCTACTTTTTGGTCATTTTTTTCCCTCTTCCATCATCAATGTTTTCTTGGTTCCAGAAGGACAGGGGACATTGGTTCATTTTGTTTACTACCAATTCCTCAGAGCCTAGAGTAACGAACGCTTGGTCTACCAAAGGCTTTTCAAAATGCTGCTGAAGGAACAGACAAAAGGACATTCAGGCCTATCCCTTGACCATCCCTCCAGACTCATGAAGTTGTACTTAATTTCTGAGGATATTTCAGGCACCGAAACAGTTCTTCACGAAGGCCAAACCTCAGGGTGCCCAAGACGTGAGCATTCTTTCTGTGTCTTCCGGCCTTGTTTCTCCAGTTAGGTTTCAAAACCATCTATTTTTGAAGCGACTCTGACAATATTGTACAGTTAGAATGTATGTGTTTAAAAACAGACTAGAAATGTTCATGCAACACTGTTCATTTAGAGGTGATAAGGTTGAGGATAAGTCTTTATCTCCCTAGACTTCTCTGTTGTTTGGAGTTTCAGATGGAGAGTTGGTCTGGCTCAAAGATACCCTCTTGGTGGCACTGACTACGCTGTCCCCTCTTGTTCTGGTGGGTAGAGTTTGCAGCTTGAGATGGGCCACTGGCAGGGCACCATCTCCTTGGCCACAAT